ACATGTAAGTATAGACAAAAGCAACCTTCAATTAATACCTATGATGTATACATTTATTTTACTGAAAACAAATTCAAAGATGACCAACAGAGTATGCACTGCAATCATCACACACACATATTTTCTAAATATATGGAAAACAGAATGTATATTTTAGATAAGGATGTTGTTAAACATAAAATTTTCTTCTATAATCTATAGACATATAAAAATATGCATTGGGTATAACAAGTCAGAAGTTCTCCAAATCTCCATTGATTTTGCCATGTCTGGTTCAACATCTTAGCTTGATCCATCCAACTTTCTTTAATATTCTTGAGCTGATGTGGGATGACCTCTACTTTGATTGATGGCACAGATCTTTTAAGGAAACACTGAAGTACTTTTTTTTTGGTTCTTATCTATTCCAATTAATGACCCATGACCTGAAATCATATATGTGTTCATTTTTACAATAACATTTAAGGAATTGCATTTTTTGGAATTGCATAAGGAATTGCACTGAGTTTCATTCACTCAATGAAATGAATAAATTTCCAATATAATCAATGAAGAATCAATATGAAATTATTGTAAAATTTACAGATTGAATTAGTGAAATGCAAATGCTTGATCAAGAAATTTTCATGTCATGCACAATTATATGTATTTCCTGTTTAATAATTACAAAATGAGATATTAATTAAAATCAAACCTCATTTAAAAAGGTAACTTGAACAATTGAATACCTGTTCAAATAATGTTACATATATTAGGCCCAAAAAGCAAGGATTTTATTTTTCATAATTTCTTGAATGAATGCATTTTTTTATTTTTTGGCAATGTTGGGAAATTAGTCACATCCTGACATCTTTGTATGTTTATTTCATCGTTTTTAAATCCGTAGTCAGTAGATCAGTCATAATTTTCAGTAAAAATGAATAGTTAAATAATTACCTGATTAAAATACTATCAACAATCAAACTGTCAACATGAACATCATCATTGGACATGGTCAAATGCATCGTGACTTTTCTTCCCTGTTCGGACTGCAAAATACTTTACAGGATACTCTCAGGTCTTTTCTTTTTTCTTTCCAATTCTCACTTAAAATTTTAGTGTAGTGGTGAAGCGAGAAACACACGACAGCACAATGCGTCAATGACTTTCTCCTGATCGGAATAGCCGTGCAACTTGCCTCGTTCCGTATCGAAAATAAACAAGTCCTCCTTTATTGGTTCATCCACATGCATCACGCTAATCTAAAAGGCTTCTAAAATTCCTATGCTTTGAATTGTTATTAGACTTTCTCCTGAAAACGTCCTTTGTTTTTAGTCCTAACAATAAGTCATTAAGTGACAACAAACATCAAGTAGGACAGAGGAAATTCGTTACCGAGATGCTTAGCATAGCATGTTTAAATTCAACTGTTTCAAACGCTTTGGTGATTTGCAAGAGTTATCTCCCTGTAAGCGCAAACCTTACCTTAAGGTCCTAAGATGCATCAACTTACAAGATTTGATGATTCTAAACCTCTCAGTGTCTGAAATAATGGGATTAAATTTTTCAAAAAGGATTAGTCATAAAGCATAAAGTTCAAAAAGTAGGTCACCGTGACCTACTTTGTTCTTACATAATGTGAAGTCCTAAATTGCATCAACTTACAAGTTTTGATGATCCTAGTCCTTATAGTAAGTAAAATATAAACGTTTATATTAATTGTAAATTTGGGTCAACTTTGAAGTGGTCTGGAGACCACACCCTTTGCCCCCGGGTAATTCCCTGTGCAATTTTCAATCTTCGACATATCCTGATCCTTGTATGTAAGTTAAGTGAAAATCTGCCTGGAGGTTCTAAAGAAGATTTTTAGCAACTAATACCTTTGAGGGTTTTTTCATGATTATCTCCCCTTAGTTAAGGGCCCCAACCCTTATTTTGCTATAAATGGTAGCCGGCCTTGGGCCTAGGATACCCTGTGACAAATCTGAGACCGATTGGCTAAGGGGTTCTTGAATTATGGCCCATATTCTAAAAAGTTTACGTACACTGCACAAATGGCCACAGCATATTATCTCTTTGAGCCTGTGGCTCAGAAGAGCTAATAATTGACAAAATACATGTACATATAAACCTACCCCAGAATACACGTGGGTTTCACATGTTGACAAATGCCTATACACCATCCAGGAAGCTGCATCATGTGCACCTAAAAATATTAGTTCCCTTTAATTCAGTGGGGTAATTCTGCTTAATTTAAAGAGGATATTCAATGTTTTGTAGCAGTTGAGTATGGAATTTATTTCATAGTGGGACAGGATTTTTTTATATGCAAAGCACGAGTGAAAATATAAAAACATAGGTAATCAGATTTTACAGAGCTCACCTCAACGAATGTTGTCTTTAAGTACCGGTAAGGCAAAGTTAAAACAATTATCCAACAAAAAGTGTACATCCAAAAATGCAAAATTTATGCAATTTTGAATTGATATTTTAGAACAGATCTATATAAAAACTTCAAACTTGTTCTTCTTCATGAAAATGTAATTAAAATCCAGCATCTGAACAAGGTTGAGATCGAGTTTTCATCCCTTGATGCATCATTTGTACAAGTTTGGTTTATATAAGCCTAATAGTTTCTTGGTAATAGACCTCTACCCATAACCCATACCTTTTAAGGGGGCCGACTATAGTTTTATTGTGTGAAAACTACAATAGCAAAACTCTTCATTTTTATACCATATATTACTTACATTAACTTCAATGTACATGCAAAGTTTGGGCGAAATCTACCCTCCAGGTTATTTTAAGGGACTGTCTCAAAATACAGGTACATTTACTATAGGATTGTATAGGAAAATGCCAGTTTTTAGTACTTTAAAGTAAATTATACAAATACTACAATAGAGATTTTGTTTAAACTAAAGTATTTGATGCATAATACTATATTATACAATATATGTAAGAAACACAAAATTCTACCGTCTTGTTACCAGAGGGGGCATCTCAAAATGCTAAAAAATAACCAAATTTTACTATTTTTATAGAGTATTACAAAATATTATGTTTACAGTGAATTCACATGAAAACATAATAAAAATATTGGAGATATTCTCAAATTTCCATAATTTAAATTTAAAGAGCGTATCTTTATTACTTTTTCTTTAATAATAGTTTTATTTCCCCTTTCTCTAAGCGTTATACAGATTATCATAACGTCAAAAACACACTGCAACGACGTCAACCTGCCTATCAATTGCAAAATTGGTTTAAAAACCAGTTATGTCAAATTGTAGTTATATTTTCATACCTATAATTTCTTAATTTTGTTTAATTTTAATAATTACGCGAAAAAAAGTTGCATTAAAACAGTAAATACGCTTCATTTTACTATGATGCGCGAAATATTGCGCAATGGAAACTATAGTCGGCCCCCTTAAGAGGTTGATGATCTGGAAAATGTATGTCAAATTCAGAATCTGAAGCAAGTCCATTAGTGTGCACACCAAGATGTATCATCCATGCAAGTTTGCTCAACATAGAGCTCAAAGTTACATGGAAATGAAACCTGTATAAAAAGCTAATCACTAATCCAGAAAATGAAGGTCAGATTCAGTATCTGAAGCCAACCTGGTAGAATGCACATTTCGATGTTACCATCCATGCAAGTTTGGTCATTATGAGGCTCAAAGATACTTGGAAATGACAACAGCACCAAAAACTTAAACCTGTTCACTCAAACAGAAAATGTAGGTCAGATTCAGCATCCAAAGCAAGTCTGTAAGTATGCATCCCTAGATGCATCATCTATGCAAGCTTGGTCACTATAGTGCTCATAGTTACTTGGAAATGAGACCTGCACCAAAAACATAAACCTGTTCACTCAAGCGGAAAATGTTGGTCAAATTTAGCAAAGCAAGCATGGTAGACTAGTGTGCATTCTATGATGTACCACCCATGCAAGTTTGGTCAACACAGGGCTTATAGTTACTCTAAAATGAGACATACACCAACAAGAGGCCCATGGGCCATATCACTCACCTGAGCACTAAGGCAAGGAAAAAGGAGAAATTGGTTTATCTATTGTAAAGTTTAATTCCAAAAGTAGTCCCATGAACAATCATGGATTTGCTATTCTTTAGAAAATGATTTTTAAAGAATTTTCCTATACATTTCTTTGTAAAACTTTGGTTGGCCATTTTGCCCCTACCCCGAGGGGTTATGATTTGAACATACTTGAATCTACACTACCTGAGCATGCTTCCATATAAATATGATGAATTATGGCTTTGTCATTTTTCAGAAGAAGATTTTTTAAGAATTTTACTATATATTTCTATGTAAAACTTTGGAAGGTCATTTGACCCCACCCTACCCCTGGGGGTCATGATTTGAACATACTTGAATCTACACTACCTGAGCATGCTTTCATACAAATATGATGAATTGTGGCTTTGCCATTCTTGAGAAGAAAATTTTAATAGAATTTTTTTATGTATTTCTTTGTAAAACTTTGGTAGGCCATTTTGGCCCTGCCCTACCCCTGGGACTCATGATTTGTAGAAATTTAAATCTACACTACCTGAGGATGTTTCCCCATAAGTTTCATCTTTCCTGGGACAGTGGTTCTTGAGAAGAAGATTTTTGAAATATTCCATCAAATTTTCATTAATTCCCAATTATCTTTCCTTGAATGAGGGTGTGGCCTTTTAATTGAACAAATTTGAATCCCCTTCACCCAAGAATGCTTTGTGGCAAGTTTGGTTGAAATTGGCCCAGCGGTTTCTTGCAAATAACTTTGCCCTTTTTAAAATTCGCCGAGTCAGTTTTGTTTAAGAAATTATATGGTATTCTTTGAATTCGCCCCTTTTTAAATTCACCCAATAAAGGATAGGGCGAAAGGGGCGAAAATAAAACTGTGGTGAAAATTTTCCTGCATACAGTACTACATATATTTTTGATGTTGACATACTAGTTCCATGGACCTCCTCCTCCATGAGGCAGACATTGAAGGCGTAGGTCTCCTCCACTGGCCAGTCTCACACAGAACTGACGAGACAGAACAGTCAGCAGCTGTCTGTAGACCTCACACAACCAGGTCACTGGACAGTCTCACACAGAACTGACGAGACAGAACGGTCAGCAGCTGTCTGTAGGCCTGACACAACCAGGTCACCGGGCAGTTTTTCACATCACCTACAACAGAGGGTACCATCCAATTTATCAAGTGGAATTAATCAAAGCTACATTATTACCATTTTTGCCAGTATTCTGAATGTATACAATTATTCATTATTTACTTCCAATGAGTTACGATATTATATTTACATACAGCGAAAATTCGTCCGAGGGGAATATGATTTTTCTTGGCTGGATGTTAGCGTGGTATTCAATTTGTCGGCAGGGCCAGGTGTGTTAGGATGGAAGACATCCCAAAATATGAATTCAATGCTTAAGTAATACTAAGTAATCTCAATTAATGAATTTTGAATCGAAATAAATTAAGATTCTATTCTGTGTTAGCTTACTTGATATTGATTCAGAAATGTTTTGTTATACATGTAGACTGTTTGAAATTCTGCTTTTATAATTTCCTGAATCAACATGTACATGATATTGTAAAAGACCAGACAAACTCAACATTTTCCTTTCCCCCACTTGTTTTCATACTTTCCATCTTTTTTTTTGTTAGATACATATATATTTCATAAAAATTATGATGAGATTCATACTTGTGTCTATCTCCCGTGGATCCAGGGTGATACTCGGTGCGGCCTGGTCTTGTTTTTTTTTCTGTTCGGTGTCGTTCAGAACTCAGTTCATCAGGTTAATCTTCGTGTCATAGAACACCAGTCCCCTCAGCTGAGACAGGAGAGCTGCTGTACTTCTGTTTTAGGTCTGGGCGGGTCTGAGGTCCACCAGGAGCAAGAAGAAGGTTTCCAGAGTATTATCAAGGGACTGAAGGAGGGCAAACCTCAAAGGAATGCTTTCCAAAGTAATGCCTGATGCATAAAGTTTTCAGTCATGTATTTCTGGAAAGTGGAGGTCTGTGTTAACCTTGACCTCTGAATCAGGAAATTCTTAATAGGGAAACATCTCAGGGGCAGTCTGAAATAAAAGCAAGAATTTGTAAAAAATTATATACTTATATAGTAGTAGTATCAGCATTATGTGCTCTTTCACCTCCATATTTGACCTTGACCTGTCCTGAAGTTTTGTCATTGACCTTCAGTTTGCACAAAATGAAAGGCTCTATGAAAAAAATATGACCTTGTGAGGGCCTCTCTAACTCCCCGTGAGGGCCCCCTTACCAAACTGACATGTTTGCTGCAAGCCTGCAGCAAGTCTGCTGCAAACTTGCAGCAAACAAAATTGTTCGCAGGAAGAAAATTTTCTTGTTCGCAGATGATTGCCGCTAGCTGCGATCTTGCGGCAAACATTGCAGCAATTGCTGCAAGCTTGCAGCAAATTCGCATGAACCCATCATGTTTGCAGGAACATTGCAAGAACCACACATGCCAATTCAATGTTCGCAGCAAGTTCGCAGGAAACATTTCATTATTCCAATGTTTGCAGGAAGTTTGCAAGAATAGTAAACAAGTCAAATTAGCCAATGAAATGCAGATTGTTCAGGGTCAACACAGAACTGGCCATTTTGAAATGTTTGAATTGAAGTTGTACATGTTTCAGTATTTTTTTTAGGAAGAAACACCATTTTGAATGATTAAAAGTGCCAAACTCTGGATGTATGTGTTCATTGGCATCCATGATATCTAATTGGTAAGAAATGATTTTGATTTATTTTGATATTTGAAAGAATATTTCTGAAAAGCACGTTTGAGTAACTGTACGTTGTAAACACTAGGTCAAATCTAAATCTATTTATAAAAAAAATATTATGAATTTCAGTCCTTTTTTTAAAATATCTTATGTATAATTCTTAAATGTATTAACGGACCCAAATCAGTTAAATGTTTTCAAATTAATTAGTAACTGTGTAATCACGGTAATATTCAATTAAAAAATTGGGTCACAAAAAAGCTTCGGTAAATTCCGAACTTTTCAAAGCATAATGAACTCTAACAGGTCGTTAATTTGGACTTTTAAGTTAGATAAATTAAGTATACAACTGGGTTCAGGATGGCAGGAGTATATATATATGGAACTACTAGAAGTAAACATATCAGTTTTTGTGAATAATTTTGAGCCTATTTCTCATGATGGCAGTTAATAATCATGATTACTTTGAAAAAACTTGGTCCACGTCTTCATGGGTATGGCCCACCATGAGGAATGATATCTTGATCTTTCTAAATAGGCCAACCTCCACCAGGAAACAGAAGAATGCTAGTAAGTACCTGTAAATTAAGGAGGAAACCACTAAAGTTAAGTACATGATCTGCATTAGATTAAGTGACTTGCAGCAAAACTGTATCTTCCCAAGTCCAAAGAGTTTCTGATCTGCTCTTCCTGGAGCGGAGAAAATCGGACGCGGTAAGATAAATATAGTGGGGTATTAAAAAATTTCGAGAAAAAAAATTTTTTTTTTTTTTACCTATTCTTATTTTCTCTTGCACAATTGTCCATCTGCAAGTATAAAACGTTGGGCATTGAATCCCTCAGGCTGTAAAAAACACTCAGCAATATGGATAGGGTCAAATTTGTGGAATGACTGAAATTAGAAGAAGAAAATAGCATAATTTTTGTCCTCTCTATGTATCTGTTTGTCTGTCTGTTGTCGAATTTTGACATAAATTATGAAGCATGAAGGATATAGGCCCATAGTGTTTCACATACAATCTTGTTTTTCAATATATAAAACTGAGATTGGTAAAATGAAAAACATTACAAACTTGTCTAGAAATGTCAAATTTTGATTAATATACAAATGTTATCTAGGCATGAGTAGTTCCACACTTTGAAATTATTTTTCTATCTTGCAAAGTGAAAAACATCAAGAATAGTAAAATTTCTCTCATGGATAAAAATGACATTTTTTCCCCCTTTTTTTTTTTTTTTTGCTTTTGGTTCTTGTAAATCTTACCTATATTCAAATAGGTCAAAGAAACCGTAAATCCCAATGCCGTGTATAATGACTCCCACTAGATGTGTGCGTAGCTTCCACATGGACGATGTAAATTTTGAGGCATGGACAAAATGGGGAATGGCTGTTTTACTCTGGTCCATCCCGTCGATTATGATGGATAAATATTTATCTGGATGGAGTCTGGCCTTCTGGTGTTTATAGTATTTCCTCCTCTCCTGGCTAAATAAATTAATGTGTGAGAGTATTGTAAGGGTGAGTGCGCGTATGTGAAGGAAGATGTGATGTAAATAAGAAATAATTCACTTACTTTAATATATTAAACGTACTTCTGTTTCCTTAAGTGTCTGTCTATTTTCTCCTTCAGTACCTCTCGCTGGCAATTATCTCTGGTCTCTCTGAGGCGAATCTTGATCTCAGTGCAAATGTTGCACTTCGAAAATCTGCTGCTCTGTTATTAATGAATAAAATCAGTGTAAAAGTGGTGTAAAAGTTTAATAAACATATTATTTAACAAAACTATTAAAAGTTTCATTCCACATTTTCATGCAATTTAACCCCATCCCCCCCCCCCTCCCCTACTACCACACGTTGCAGTATCGTTTAAAATGGGGAAAGTGGTATTGTTCTGAAAAAAAAAAAAAAAATTGTACTGAAGTTCAAACCTTACCACCCTCCCCCCGTCAATTTTCAGTTCTGATCTGATATGTGCTTTTTCCAAGCCAATTACTCAAAGACCAGAAGATTTTATGCCATAGTTATGCGTCCGGCGTCCGTCCGTCTGTCTGTCCGCCTGTCTGTAAACATTTTTTTCAAAATGCTACTCCTCCTACAGTTTTCGTCTAATTTCAATATAACTTGGCACACAAGTATTTATTGCTGTTGTAAAGTTTCAAATCTACTTTTCTCTTCTTTTGCTATAAGTTAAAACCAGTAGAGCTTCAGTCTCAACAGAGACTTCTGGTTTCATGTTCAAAATTATGCTAAACTAATTTAAAGACAAGAGGCCCATGGGCCACATCGCTCACCTGAGAAGCTTTGACCATTCTGTTCTTTACCAGATTTCACCCTTGTTATACATAATGCATCTCCACCCTACCCCACTGATCATAATTTAGACATTTTGAAATCTTCACTACCCCATGATCCTTCCATGGGCACATATGTTTCAGCTTTTTTGGCCCAGTGGTTCCTGAGAAGAAGATTTTTAAAGATTTTTCCTATATATTTCTATGTAAAACTTTGATTCCCTATAATGGCCCCGCCCTTCCCCCGAGGGTCATGATTCCTACAATTTAGAATTAACACTACCCCAGAATGCTTCCACATAAGCTTCACTTTTTCTGGCCCAGTGGTTCTTGAGAAGAAAATTTTCAAAGAATTTTCCTATATATTTCTATATAAACCTTTGATTCGCCATTGTGGCCCTGCCCTTCCCCCGGGTGTCATTATTTGAACAATTTAGAATCTACATTATACCAGGATGCTTCCACATAAGTTTCAGCTTTTCTGGCCCAGTGGTTTTTGAGAAGAAGATTTTCAAAGATTTTTCCTATATATTTCTATGTAAAACTTTGATACCCCATTGTGGCCCCGCCCTTCCCCTGGGGGTCATGTTTTGAACAATTTAGAATCTACACTATACCAGGATGCTTCCACATAAGTTTCAGCTTTTCTGGCCCAGTGGTTTTTGAGAAGAAGATTTTCAAAGATTTTTCCTATATATTTCTATGTAAAACTTTGATACCCCATTGTGGCCCCGCCCTTCCCCCGGGGGTCATGATTTGAACAATTTAGAATCTACACTACCCCAGGATGCTTCCACATAAGTTTCAGCTTTTCTGGCCCAGTGGTTCTTGAGAAGAAGATTTTCAAAGATTTTTCCTATATATTTCTATATGAAACTTTGATTCCCCATTGTGGCCCCGCCCTTCTCCCGGGGGTCATGATTTGAACAATTTAGAATCTACATTATATTAGGATGCTTCCATATAAGTTTCAGCTTTACTGGCCCAGTGGTTCTTGAGAAGAAGATTTTTTAATGACCCCACCCTATTTTTGTCTTTTCTTGATTATCTCCCCTTGCGAGGGGATATGTCCCTTCATTTTAACAATTTAAATTCCCCTTTACCCAAGGATGCTTTGTACCAAGTTTGGTTAAAATTGGCCCAGTGGTTCTTGAGAAGAAGTCGAAAATGTGAAAAGTTTACAGACGGACAGACGGACGGACGGACGGACGGACAGACAGACAGACGGACGGACGACGGACAAAATGTGATCAGAAAAGCTCACTTGAGCCTTCGGCTCAGGTGAGCTAAAAAGGATTGTAAAAACTGAAAATTTGTCTTTTTTCCATTATTATTTTATTATTATTTCCCTTGAGTCAAAAATCGCTCTCTGTAATAACTTATAAGACTTAATATGATTTTATGCAAATTTTATTTAGAATCTACCATTGGATAAACATATATGGTGTCCGGATAGGGCCATTTGCAGAAACTCAACAGCGCG